GTTGACTCGGACTGGCTACCTGGCCGGTTCCCGGTTCGATTGGTTCGATCGGCCGGTCCGGTCCGAGTTTGAAAACAGAGATTTGAACCCTTTTGGTGCTATTACTCGTTATTGGAAACAATCTCAATTGTATTTAACCAGCATTTAGTTAAGAGCTAAGGGGCTAGAACAAATTTAAGAGGATGGTTGAAGTGTGATTAGGGTTGAGATTTCAAGAATTAAATGTTTTGGATTTAAATTTCCTTAATTCTTATCCATCTTCTACTAAAAATAAATAAAATAAAACGGGATAGGGTACAAAATATTACGGGTGAGATACGTGAACGAATTTGTTACCTTAGATGAATTGATGATTTACTTAATTCGATATGAATTGATTCAAAGTTAAATCTTATTGAAATTTTAACATTTGTAATTGACGTGCTTAGGCACCCATGCTATTAGTTTGCATCGGTGGTTGCTTTGTAGCCGAGCAATGCGAAAGGTGAAACTTGAGTGGAATTAAATTGAGAACATTTATAGAGAGAGGACCAAAGGTGAAACTTTGCTGCCGGTCCTGTCTTCCACCGCGCTTCATCAGAGTTGAGTAGTCGAGTCCACTTCTCTTTAATGTGTGTACGTGTACAAGTTGCAGAGTAGTAGCTGACGATAACCCAAGGACTTGTAGTACGAAAAGTCAACTATTTTGGCCTTCGGGAAGGTCTGGAAATAGCTTCTCGTGAAGCCAACCGAACAAAGATGTAAAATATTCAACAGGATTCTTCATCTGCCTTCATTGATAGTAGGAAAAATCTTTTGAGCATGTTCACACCTTTTTGTCTGATGAATTTCATTTTCAGTTTTCTGCGGTCACGCCCATAAAGGGATTTTTGAAGATTCATCAGCGCAGAACTTTCTGCAAATTTTTCTGGGAGAAGAAGAAAAGGTTCGCAAGAAGGATCAGAGTTTTGGAAAGGTTGTTGTTAATAATTTATGGGCTCTTGCTTCAGTGCTCGGATTAAGGCCGAGAGTCCTCTGCATGCTGGTAATTCAATACATGCAACTGTTCTCATTTGTTATTTCAAGACTCAATTTTTGGAAATGTTTTCCGGAAATTTTAATTAGTTGTTCCACCTTGTTGCTTGGCCTTCTTTAGCAAACATATGCTGCTTGCTTTGGCACAGGTTGGAATATAATCTATGCATACTAGTTTCATAGGTCCTCCAAGTAGGATTGCTATACTGTATTTGATCAATAGTTCTCTTTTTGGATAGACCCCTTTGGTTCCGTTCCTTTGCAAAGAAAAAGAGATAAACGTTCTAGAATGTCATGTTCTCTTTGTCTGGAAAACTTTACATGGAAACCGGTGATATGGGTGATAGCTAGTTTGATATCTCAACAATTCATTTGCAACTTATGATATTGTGGTCGTTCTGCTACTAAAATCAAAATCTGATAGACCAAATTGGATCGTCTCGGACCTTCCATAGTTGTCTTTACAAATCACCGGTCTGAATCATGGCTTTGAAGTATGAAGATGATATAAGGCTGCTCAGTCAACACCTTTGGCTCATCACGAATAAACCAAACCAGATGAAAGAAGTGGCTAGACTACAAGAGTAATGACCTGAAATTAAAGGGCACTTAATTAATGTTTCTGAGCATACATAGAAATCTTCAATTGTTTTATGAATGTTAACAGGAATCATATGCAAAGCAATATCAGGCCTTTTGCTTCAACAAAAAGCAAATCACCTAGACATGCATTTTTAATGCTGTTCCATCCTTTTTTTTTCCTTCGAGGATTAGACGCTCTTGATGTAAAGGAAATTAGGTTGTAGGATGTTCAGTTGAAGCCCAATAAATTAACTTAATTTGTTTGCAGGAGCAAACTCAAGATATGTCAGCAGTGATGGAAGAGACTCAAGCAGCAGGCTCTCATCTGCCTCAGTACCACAGACCCCTCGCAGTGAGAGTGAAATTTTGGAATCATCAAATCTGAGGAGTTTTGGGTTTAATGATCTAAAAACAGCCACTAGGAACTTCCGCCCAGATAGCGTGTTGGGAGAAGGCGGATTTGGTTGTGTTTTTAAGGGGTGGGTTGATCAGCATAGCTGTAAGGCTGCTAAGCCAGGAACTGGATTGGTTATTGCTGTGAAGAGACTGAACCAAGAAGGTCTACAGGGCCACAAGGAATGGTTGGTGAGTATATGACTTCACCTGTTATTTACAGAATTCATACCAGTGTTATTAAATAATGCAAAAAGTACTGACATATATCACACGTGGTCAAAACTTGTAATTGTCATATTCTGAAATCTCTTAGCTATGCTGATAATTTTGTTTCTTCACCTGAATCACAGACAGAAATCAATTATCTTGGACAGCTACATCATCCTAATCTTGTGAAATTGGTTGGATACTGCTTAGAAGATGAACAGAGACTTTTGGTTTACGAATTCATGCCCAGGGGGAGCTTGGAAAATCATCTTTTCAGGAGTGAGTTCTTGAACTCTGTAGCAAGTCTACCATCTTCCAACACAATGCACTTCCAATTATCACAATGACATAATGTCTTGTGTATATTTTCAACAGGGAGCTCTTACTTCCAACCACCATCTTGGAACCTCCGAATGAAGGTTGCTTATGGCGCTGCAAAGGGGCTAGCATATCTTCACAGCCCAGAAGCCAAAGTTATATACCGTGATTTTAAGTCCTCAAATATCTTGCTTGATTCGGTATGTATGTAACTCAAGTTTCCAATTGTTGAATGTCTTACTCTTTGGATTTCTGCTTTACTTGTGTCTCACTGTCACTTATGCATCTTGTTGATGAACTGAATCCTGACAGAATTATAATGCAAAACTCTCTGATTTTGGGCTCGCAAAGGATGGGCCAATGGATGGTAAAAGCCATGTGTCTACACGAGTCATGGGGACCTATGGTTATGCTGCTCCAGAGTACATGGTCACAGGTATTACATCTTGTTAAAGTGCTCATAATATTGGAAGCTTCTCAGGATTCTGCTGCCTGCTTTTCTTATTATATTGTTTCTTTGGTGTCCGATGTTGTATACTGTTCAGCTTAGTAAGGTTGCACGTTTCTGATTGTTGCGATTTCTTACTCAGGCCAAGTTAAACTTAAAGTGACTGGAATGCTTCTTGTTCCATCACCCCCTCCTCTTCTACTATTAAGAATAGAACCCCTTAACTAAGAAATGGTCCCTTATTTTGTCCTGTAGTTTGCATCCCTTGGTGGAGGTGAGGTCAACTCTATTACTATTCCAAGTCCAAATGTAGTTTCCCTTGGGTGGCTTTGCCTTGAAACATCTCCAGTGATGAAATTGTATAGCATTTCTTATTGTCTTGGGATTTGTTCAGGCTTCGTTATCACATATTTGTGATGGATTCACCATTTTGAGATGAGTGCAGGATGTTTGTGAATCAAAGCATCAAGTCTTGTGAAAAGCTCTGGTCTGTGTGTGGAATCGCCTAATATTTCCTTTAAATAATAAGTCCTTTTTGTATCCTAGTCTTGCTGAAAAGTCCCAAGCTTCATTCTTCTCCTGCTACTGCAACATTATCATCTCCCTTCTTCCAGTTCTCTCTCAGTTTTCTATTTACTCGTGCCATTGCGCCTAGTTAGGAACGTCGATTGTCAACGTTTTTCAGACTGTCAAATGTACACACATCAAATCCTTGCTAAATCGACATGCAGCTTTTATAAGCTGTAAATCATTCTTCTATCTTTGTGCTAAGCCTGCATTTGTCTGTTTCTGAAGGCCATCTGACTGCCAAGAGTGACGTGTATAGTTTTGGGGTTGTTCTCCTCGAAATGCTGACGGGCCGTAGAGTGATAGATAAGAACCGGCCTCCTGGAGAGCACAATCTTATCGAATGGGCCAAGCCTTACCTGGCCAGCAAACGCAGAATTTTCCAAGTTATAGATGCCAGAATAGAAGGGCAATATTCGTTAGGTGGAGCTATAAAAGCTGCAAACCTTGCAGTTAAATGCCTTGCAACGGAACCCAAGTACAGGCCAAACATGGATGAGGTGGTAAAAGCATTAGAGCAGCTTCAGGACTCGGACAGTGGCAGTGTTAAACATGAGGTGGTTCGCAAGCATCATAAAACATGTTCAAACGACGCATCTAACAGAAAGGCTGCATCATGTCCAAGACGATCCCCTTCCCCCATGGTTGCTTGAATGTGGATTTTGTTTGTAAAATTTTCAATTTTTACCAACTACTCTAAGCGAGAGATACGAAGAGCAGACGATGCAAGGAAGCCAGGCCTCCATGGAATCGGCCTTGTGCTGTCCCATCCCATCCTCTTGCATTGTACGGTTCCCATCTCAATCTGTCCTGTGACTCTGCATCAATCTTATCTCGGCAGGATGCTAAATAGATTTTGTTGTATCTAGGCATGAGCCAATGGGAAATGATTCCCATGTTTATATCATATTTATAGCCTTGTTATCCCATATGTTGTACGATGCATACTACTTTTATCTCATGCAAATTTTTCATTTTTGTGGTAGATTAGCATAAGAAGTTGGGTGTACAGCCATGGACATCATTAAAAGATTCATCTTCCTGACGTTCAGGATTTTTATTTTAATCTGCCTGAGCTTTTAGGATGTATTTGTAGGATTCTTGGTGCAGAACTTTTGAGGGTAAATACTAGAAAGCCAAGCAACGGAAGAAGAATCCTGGCAGCTGCTACTGTACTACCTTTCATATAGCCTACACGAAGCCACAAAACTTATTATTTTGCGAGGGGGAACATTTTGAGTATAAATCTTCCGTACTGTTAAACTCCATGTTATTCTTTAAATATAAATGGGGAGATGCCAGAAGGGAAAAATAAATAAATAAAAAGGAAATAGAGAAATAACCTAAAAAAAAATTCAAAATAAAAGTCTTCAAAATTCAACGGATAGTCAAACAGGGCTATTTTTGTCTTTTTAAAAAAACCGATGAGTCTTTATTTCTTTTTGGTCTTTAATAAATCCAGAATGTGAGGCTTAAGGCATAGCCTGGGTTTATAGTGTGTCATCTCGGCCCTGGTGTTCCTCCCTCGCAGAGTCTCTCGATCCATTCATCCAGTCTCTCGAAGCATGTCAATGGCGATATTTCAGCACGTGGTCACAGCACCCTTTGCACGCGCCGTAAGGTTCCGTACCCTGACTGTCGCCTGTAGCACCGTAACTTTACCTTCTCTCAAGAAGAAGGCCGAGGCATCATCAAAAGTGGACTTGCAGTCGCAGGTTCTCCTCGGCATGTCTGAGCAAGAGCTTCAACAACTTGCCGTCGATTTCGGTCAGGTATAGTTTTAGTGGGTTTAGCCTAAAAGCATAAATGGACCAATCAATTTTCCATCTTCAGTTGCTTTTCTGGAAATATGAAATTCTTGTTGTAACTAGCAAGTACTTGTCATTTTAGGAACGCTACAGAGGTAAACAATTGCACCATTTACTGTATAAAAGAAAAGTTAAAGAAATTCAAGACTTTAGTCAAGGTGAGTAATTTTTTTTTCCAAATCTTGCCTAATTTTATTCAACTTTAATTGGTAATTTTTTTGGGGTAATTTTTTGGATGAAAAGTGCCATTGGCATTCAGGAATGAGTTGCAGGAAGCAGGATGGAGAGTTGGGAGGTCACCAGTATATAAGAATGTTACGGCATCTGATGGCACCATTAAGGTAGTTTCTTGACAAAACTGGCTCGGCTCTTGGTGGTGGTTGAGCTAATAATATATATCTAAACAAGATTCTAGTTTGAATGGACATATACATATACATATACGTATATATATAGATATATGTATATATGTATATGTATGTCAGCATTGAGCATCCATGGAGGATTGTGTTAGATAAAGAGGAGGAAACCAAAGAGAAGATTATTTCTTATTTGGTAACAAACATGTATTCATTGAGGACACTAGACTTCTACAAGAACTAGTTAATTCACCTGAAACCTGAAGCTTTGGAGAGTTGGCGAATTAAAATTGAAGAATGATTTGAATGATTTCCTTTTACAATAGAAAGTCTGGAGCCGTAAAGTGAGGCAAGTTATTTCTTTTCTCAAGGAAATTTGGCAGGAAGCTTTTTTGGGATGTGGGAGCACTTATTGTCTAGATTCTATTTTGGTTTGTAAGTTTGCGTCGGGTGAAATTTGAATCACAGTTTGTAATTGGGATCGCTGTAGGGTAGTATCAATATGGAGAAAACGAGTAAGGTTCACTGAAATTGCCATCAAAAGTTTAATTATGTCTCAGAGCTTGTGCCTTCTCTCAGATGACCTAGAGATCTCTGGGTCTCAGGCTCTCGGCATTTGTGAATCCCGTTGGCAAAAGAAGCAATCAAGGAATATTTTTAATTGTTTTTAGACTCGCTAGAATTGGCACTAAGATTACATGATTCAGGAACTTGCTTTGCATAGAACTTGGGTTTCCAGTATTCATAGTGCTAAGTTTGGTGATAAACATCATGGTTGTCTCATGCATAAAAATGTCATGTCCTAAGACTACAGGAGTGCATAATAATGTCATGCATAAGTTGCCTTCGCCATGACTCTCTGTTGCTCATTATATGTATAAACATGAAGCAAGAACATGCGCATATCCAGATTTAGTCCATCTCAATTCTTTCCAAAGTGATAGATTTGGCTGTCTTTATATGCCTACTTTTTGATTATGTCTTGTGATATCTTGTGACTTTATATGTCTACTGTCTCATTATATCTTGTGACTTTTTATTATTTCATCTTCCCAGTTACTGATAAAATTGGAGGACAACCGATTGGTTGAAACTGTTGGGATACCAGTGGAAGATGATAAAGGTTCAGTCAGGTTGACTGCATGTGTCTCATCCCAGGTTATTTTCTACTGCAAAAACGTTTAAATGTGGTGGTTTATATATCCATTTTTGGGATATCTATTTTAACATTGAGTACATAGTCCCTGTTGATTCCATTGTTAATCTTCTCCCTGTGTCAATTAGGTAGGCTGTCCATTGCGCTGTTCCTTTTGTGCCACTGGCAAGGGGGGATTTGCAAGAAACCTTAAGAGGCATGAAATTGTAGAGCAGGTATGTCTTACATCTGTTTGATGCTATTTTTGAAATTTACATCAGGTGACAGATGGGCTCTCTTTCACTTGGAGGTGCTGTGAGAAAAATTTCCCTGCCTCGTTACCTCCATCCTCAGGACTCATGGCATCTTTTTCTTATTAAATCAACCTAGGCTATTTATCCACTGCTGCGTCCCTTATTCCCTTAGTTAATCGTCCTTAGGATTCTCGTTGTACCCTTCTTTCCCCAAAAAGTCCAGTGAGTTTCCTTTGTTTACATGCCTGCTGTTTGTTTGTGAACATAAGTTTATACACTTCTGAACTACTGATGCTAAACTTTTGTCATTTTATTTAGTTGTGGATCCTGTTATGGTCTCTGGAAGCACTCTGTACGTGCTGCATTTAAGTAGTCCCATGATCATAAATGTGCAGGTGTTGGCAATAGAAGATGTTTTCAAGCACAGGGTTACAAATGTCGTGTTTATGGGAATGGGTGAGCCGATGTTGAACCTTAAAGAAGTTCTTGAAGCACACCGTTGCCTGAATAAGGTCCTCTATGCCTCTCCACTCTGAAAATTCAAATTGCTCCAAAATCTAACATAGGTGGTGTATTAAACTGTGTAGCTAGTTTTTTTTTATGTGGATGTAAAGATTGTTCACATGCCATCCTTTGTTCAGGATATCCAAATTGGGCAGAGGATGATCACAATATCAACTGTTGGAGTTCCAAATACAATAAAAAAGCTGGCTTCTCACAAGCTTCAATCGACGTTGGCTATTAGGTAATGTCATTGCATATTCTGCTTTCTGGACTGAAAAGGGATAGAAATGTTTCCTTGTGTGTTTGCACAATAGACCTTCAGGCATTGAACTGTTATATCACTGTTCAACACGTCCCTGATGGCTGTTCTATTCTGTTACAAGGAAAGGGGAAAAAAAAGGGTGGAAGCCCTTTCTTTCTGCTTCTCTTAAAAGCAGTTTGACATAACTTCTAGATAAGTCCAACGAAGTTAGAAGATGTTGCTCTTTATGCTGTTCAATTCACTGGTCATCATGCTTAGGTATAAGGAAGTATATTTTGCTTCCTTGAGCTACAGTAGAAACCTGACAACATCAGATTGCACCAGTTTGTTTGAATTCATAGGTACAGGAATTATGGGCATTATTCCTGGTGGAGTTAATAATTCTGGTGATTGCCAAGCTTAGGCACGAACTCAAATGGTCTGAACTTTTGCTAATTTACCTTAATCTCCCCTGGTTTCCATCATTATCGCGGGCACGGGTCTAATATTTCACTAACTTCCTCTTCAATCTTTGTCTGATGAATGTCGGGAATTATCAGGGTGGTTAGTGTGATTTAAGAACTTAGTGGAGGTTCTCGTAGTTACCATAAAACTCAGTTAATATCATAATTTGCCGATGATTTTTCCAGATATCATTGCTGACCATCCTTAAAAACTAGTTGTTAAGCTGTGAAAGCCTAGAACATCTTTTCCTTAGCTAAGCTTACTTCAACTCTGATTCGTGATGTGTCATTTCCTTCACATTTTGTCCAGCTTACATGCTCCAAACCAGAAACTCCGCGAAAGTATAGTACCAAGTGCAAAGTCCTATCCTTTGGAAGCAATCATGAAGGATTGCAGGGACTATTTCCTTGAAACCAGTCGACGGGTGTCTTTCGAATACACACTTTTAGGTATTCCAGACTTCTGCGAGTAAAAGGTTTTCATGACTTCAATTGTTTGATAGGCATGCAGAGAGGAAGTAACAATAGTTTTGGCTTTTATTTGTTCTTGTGAAGCTGGAGTCAATGACACCATTGAGCATGCGTTAGAGTTAGCAGAACTGCTTCATGAATGGGGTCGTAGTTACCATGTCAACCTGATACCGTTTAATCCAGTTGAAGGATCTGATTACCAGCGTCCATATAAAAAATCAGTACGCGTTTTATCTCCCTTCTTCTTTGGATGTTCATTTTGGACCCTTTAGCTTTCCCAATTTAGTTCTAAACTATTTTTTTCTAGCAAGAGCGGGGTCAACTGATAGGTATAATAAATTTGGTTATGCAGACTCTTGCATTTGCAGCCGCTCTGGAGTCCCGTAAAATAACCGTCAGTGTCCGGCAGACTCGAGGTCTTGATGCTAGTGCTGCATGTGGACAGCTGAGAAATCAGTTCCAAAAGAGCCCTCTGCTTACTGGTGCCGAGGACCAGCAATCAAACTCAGAGATTGCAGTTAGTTGTTGATCCAGGATTCACCTGTTGCTACCTTCTGCAAGTTAGGTGGAACAGCTGCTTCATGGGGGTAAAGTCCTACTAGGTTAGCATCACACTCAGCTCTCGTGGCAATCAATGGATAACATCCCACAGGAGCAGAAAAGATTTTCATCTTAACAAGAGGATTATTCAGTGAAATTGAAGAAAATTATGAAAAACTGCAGATTTTATCAAATGCAGGCGACAATACTCGAGAGCTGAGAGGAATTGCAAATGGGGATGGAGGTCTTAAAGTACAACATGGTGTATATTTTTTCTTCAGGAAATGGCAGTCTACGAACGATTTTGTGAACTTGCTGAAGTTCATTTAAGCTACGACTACAGTTTCGATATTGCTAATAAGAGAGAGATCACTTTTGAGCTCTTTCTAAAATTCTCAGCCATATGTAAAAGGAAAAATGAAGAGACATTTGACACCCTATGGAGACTATTATATATACCAACCTTCTGTGGCAAAAATTGAATTACACGAGACAGTCTCTCCACCCTGCTTAAAGGCAGAAGGTAACTTCCGCAGTCCGCCAAAGGCTAGTCGCCTAAGAAAATTCCCCCGAGTCAAACTAATTGCCATGGAACATCAGCCATATGCCTTTTCTAGCAAATAAACTTCCATTCGTACTGTACAGCGGGCCTTCAAATAGGAGAGTACTTGAAGAGTAGAGGCATCAATCATCAGACTTCTGCATTCTGCATGATGTACATACAGGTCATCAGCAGTTAAATATTTCACAGACAAGCCCCTCGAAATGCAATCCCTGAAAGAGAGTCAACAAGTTATCTCTTTTCTTTGATATCATAATAAGCTGTACTGATTCCTCAATCCTGTTGAACTGATTCCGTTTGGCACTACTTCGTCAACAATTTCGATGTTATTCTGTGCAAAATATAGGCAACTGATAATAAATTGAGAGTACATCAGTCAACAATATGATTCTTCAGCTCACTACTACTACTTGAATTGATAAACAAATGCTGAGTTGATAAAGCAACGTTCAGGGGTGAGGCCAAAAAAGGAAGAGAATAGTATCGTACACAAGAACAAATCATTCAAGGGTGAGGCCAGAGATGGTGAGTGGTTACATAGGAAATGAAGAGAGAAGGAAGGATAGATAAAGAAAGCCAGAGCCGTCTGGAAGAATCCAAGTGCGAACCTCATTTAACTCAATGTTCACGCGCATCTTTCCACTTCTTTGACGTTTTTACAACACTGCCCTTCAAATCCTTGCATTATGGGATTAGGTTTTCAGCACTAGTGACTGTTCAGTTTTCACGCGCCTCTTTCCACTTCCTTGACGTCTCCGAGCGCCCCCCTCAGTACTAGTAGTAGAGTCCACACTCCACAGGTTTCCGGCGCTCTTGTCGAATTTCACTTTCCGTTCATCGTCGCTTCAAAGAATCGAAAATATCAAAGTCATTGCAATTATTCTTGGTACTTTCTCTCTCATTGAAATCCTCTCAAACCAAAACATCTTCCTTAACCTCTCTTCTTCTCATTTTTTTCCTTTTTTTTTTTTGTTCATCTTTAATGTGTAAAAGTTTTGATCATTAACTCTGATGCTTTTAGTATGCTTTTAGTTAACTTATCTGATTTTCTTACTATGTGTTTGCCGCTGATTCTCTCCAGATTTTTTCTTCCACTTTGGTTCTCTGTAATTTCTTCAGGTAAGGCTTCTTTTTCCCTTTTTTTTTTTAATCTTTGTATTTGTGTTGTCAACATGAATAGCCGAATATTTAATTTTGTTAGTATCAACACTTATTATTGTGCTCTGGAGAGTTTTTTTCCCGTTACTTATTGTAGACATGTGTTCTTTCTTTTGGTGCTTTTCTTTTACTTGTTTCTATTTTCACTTTCTTGTAAATGATTAATTGTCATTGCTTATATTTTCTTTGATCAAAGTTGTTTTTGCAATCTATTGTAGGGAGCATTTGAAGTCCTTATATCGTCAAAGAAGTTGTTGCCAGGTAAAGTTCGGTTCTTTGTGTCGTAAATTTTCACTTTTCCAAAGTTATTCTAATTCTTGGTAGATTTAGTTAGGATATGTGCTCTACTTTGGATTCTTATCCAATCTATTCTTCTAGTTTTCACGATTTGAAGAAATTTTTATTTGTTATGCCTGATAAAATCTTTACTCCTCTGCTTCATGGTTGCAATTTTTTAGCTCCAAACAATGTGATTTTGTATCTTGATTAGAAGATTATGATACTATAACGGCTCTTTACATTTCAGCTCCTGTTGTTTCATCATGTTGCTTTTGCTTGCTTTTCTTTCCAACTTGCATGGGGTAGCAGAGGCTATAGTTGATCTCGTGAGCAGGGGAACCACTTTGAGAGAAGGAAAAATTAATGAAATTGAAGGTGGGGTTACTTTGGAAGTTAGTTTATCGTATACATGACGAAAGGTTCACAACTCAATAAAACTGTAGAAATACATGGAGAGGAGCTTTTAAACATATTTGTTGTTAATATTTGATTTTAGGTTAATGCTTTAAGCTGTTCTTTTATCTAAGAAAGTCGTTGGTTCAGACAAAAGGTGTGCTTGATATAACTCATGACATGCTTCAAAGATTGGAGGCAAACTTCGGGGTTCATAAATTCATGACAGTTTGTTGTTATTTGTACGTGCTTATGTGGTTTAGCACATACGAAACTGCCTGTATGATGTGAAGTGGTGCACAGGAAGTGGCTGGGTCTGATTTGCAGGTGAAACAAATTGGTCCTGTGTCAACAGACTCAACACAAAAGAAAGACAAAGAACTTACTCAAAATTATTTAAGAACTATGAAATCTTGTTTATCTTGTTTGCAAGAGGTTTGTTTTGAACTCTTTGTATGTTTATCATGCAGGGACCTAACACAAAAGATAGACAAAGAACTTACTCAAAATTATTTAAGAACTATGAAATCTTGTTTATCTTGTTCGCAAGAGGTTTGTTTTGAACTCTTTGTATGTTTATCATGCAGGGGCCTACTTTAACCCAGATTTTAGCAACAGTGGTAGGGCTTGCTGAAGGGTAGTGCTTGATTGTTATGCCATGTTACAACACGTGTAGCAAATAAACCACTATACAAAAGAAAGACAAAGAACTTACTCAAAATTATTTAAGAACTATGAAATCTTGTGTATCTTGTTCACAGGAGGTTTGTTTTAAACTCTTTGTATGTTTGTCATGCAGGGACCTGCTGTAACTCAGATTTCAGCAATGGCGGTAGGGCTTGCTGAAGGGTAGTGCTTGATTATTGTCCCATGTTACAACACGTGTAGCAAAGAAACCACTATACAAGTTTTTCAATAGCTGAGGTAGGTGATACTCAAGATTTTGAGATTGTTACAATTCTAGCTAAATTTCCATGTAGTAATCTTGCCAAGTATGCTTTTCATTAGTGTTAGATTTTTAGCCTGAAACTTGTGAATAAGTTGTTTTCCCATTTCTCCCATGGAATAGTTAGAAATTTGAAAGATTGAAACTATTAATATATTGTTAATGATGAACTGTCATAGATGTTAAAATTGGTGGTTCAGACCATTGATGATAAAATACTTTACAGGTTTTCTTTCTTTTGAAAATTTAGATAGCATTGTGGCTACCTGAAAAGTCTCATTGATTACTTAAAATGTTTACAAGTCTTAGACTTTTGCATTTTTTTCCAATTAAAAAATAATCTGACAAAGATGGAGCTGACTTTGTTGGTAGTTGGTTAAAGCAACTTAGTTGAAGATTATGTTTTTGTAATAGTTAATGCACTACTAAGTCCTAATGGCTTTATGCTTAAATGATCAAATAAGTTTTCTATAGACTGTTTTATGTAAATTTAATAAAGTAGGAGAAGTGCAGCAACACTATCACTGTAATGGTACTAGATGGGAGGGGACAGGGATTTTACAATAGGCAGTTAAATAAAAAACTTACTCATTTCGAGTAAGATCATTATGCTTTAATTTCCATTTTATGCAGTTAAACTTTTTTGAACGGTTGAATTTTGGCAGACTGCTGTTAATTAAGCATTACATCCAGTTTCTTGATATTTAACTAATAAGTTTACTTCGTTTTTGCTTTCCATTCTATGTTTGTATGAGGAAATAATTTAATTTACAGAAGAGTTCATCAACTGCGTTGAACTTGTATATTGTTTGCTTGCTATGATGACTGGCCTTTACTAACAAAAAAGAAAGAAAGTTGACATGGCCATTGGATTTGGGTTTGGTATCTTATCCTGGTCAGATAACAAAGACAGCTAGAAAAGAGGGCAAAAAATGTGAAAAAAGGATGTTGCCTGGGAGTTGAAGAGAGTGCAATTTCAGGATCTCAAGTTGCTGTAAAAACTTAATCAGCAAGAACATTCTTCCACATGGGTTTTAGGAATGCTTAAAGTGATTACCTTCAAACTTAGATATTCATTTACATACTAGTCATTTGATGAGCCTTGGAGCTTTGTATGAGAAGCAAATGAGCGTTTAAAAGTTTAACACCTGACAGGAGAAATAACTGAAATACAAGTTCATTGTAAAAACTAGACCAAAAAATTTGATGCCCAGCAAATTTACTAGCTAAAGTATTTCAAAGCTAAATTTCTCACAATTGTTACAGTGAACATCAATCTAATTTTCTATTAGAGAAACCTTTGTCACACCTAGTACTAAAACACAATCACTTTTAACAAAAACTGTTTACTGTTTTTATTTGTAGAATTTTATGAACATAAACATAAAAAAGGAAACATAAACATTACCAAGCGACCTCTCAGTGATTGGCAGCAGCGAAATGTTGCTACTTCTGGCTCCCACCTCCCTCTTCTTTTTGGTTTTAGTCCGCAATCTGCAGTGCAGTAATGAGCTCCGAGAGAAACCCCAGAATTGAGATTGAAGTTTAGAGGTCTAATTAAAGATCAATTTAGAGGGGAATCTGAGTTTCTTATTGGGACGGGACATTTGGAGGAGAGTTAGAGTTTCTTAAAACCACGGCTGCCTTCAATATCCGGTTCAAACATTATTAGACTTCTAAACCCGAGTGTTGCTCACTGGACCGAAGCGGCCTGACTTATAAGTCATAACATGCTCCATCAGCAGTCAGCACTCACACTATAAAGTTTAGGGCTTGGTTTATCACAGCAGAAGCAGGCAGATTCCTTGCTCTGGTTTTCGTTCAATCATCTTTCAAGAATCGTCGTTTTAACAGGTCAATTTAATTGTTATTCTCATTCAATTGGTTTCTGAAATTCCGGATTTCTGTTTTACTTGTTCTTTTTGCTCTTGTAAAACTCCTGATTGAATAATGACTGAGAGGTTTCGGGTTTCTATCTGAGACCAAGACTTGTAAAGCTCAGATCTTCCTACTAATCACAATTTTTTTTGCGCCACCTGCCCTTTTATGATGTTGAATTTAATTTTTCTAAACATAAATATCATAAATTTTCCTCATCTGTTTTTACTTTTTCTTTTTCTTGGTCATAAATTGGCCCCCCAAATTGATTTTTGGCTGGCTTACAATTTTTTAAAAAATCATTAGCTCTAACAAAAGCAATATTAGTTGACGGTATATATCTCTTTCTCTCTCTTTTTTCCCGTTTTTGGGTTGTGAAGCATAAAAAAGGGACCCTTCTTTATAGGTGATATGACATAGAATTCATGATATTGATGCATTTTGATTCTCAATTACTTTTTTTCCTAAAAAAGATGAAAATTTTCTTCATCTTTAATACTGCCTTTCAGCCTTTGGTGTTGCAACGTGCTAAATGTGCATAATGTAATGTGTAAGTAATAAAATTTTTTTTTTTTTAAAAAAGAGTTCCTCTTAGTAAGCTTTCGAGTTTTGGCTGTTCTAGCATGAGTTTCAGAGTCGTATACGCTATACAGATAGGTGTATTATGGGATGATGTGAAATTTTAGAACTTGTCTTTACCATCGCTTGTTTAAACTGTCTGTTATGCTATGATAAAACTTTACTGAATATTTGTCGCTGAAAAGAAAAGTTTTTTATATGCTATACATTTTCCCTTGTTGTCATACTGAAATTTCAAACAAGTGTTTTACTTCTGAAAGAAGTTGGCATGTTTTGGCTTTTTTTTTTTTTCAATTTATTTTGAGACAATCATCCCTATTAAATTCATAATATATGTGTAAAAGTTGAATTTTAAATTCAAATTAACATCTAAATTCAGAGAGTTCTTTTTTTTATTTTTCTTTTTGTGCAATAAAGTTATCTAATATTATGAAGAAAACTATCTTAAGAACATTATTCGAAAAGATAAATGCTTATACATTTGAAAAACTTTTGCGAACTAGCTCCACGGGTTATTGTGAATTTTTTTTTTTTAATTTTTACTTCGGTTTGTTTACAGAAAACAAAAATTATTCCTCGCGAAATGAAGCAAAACTTTGACATTTTCTTCTGTGCTGTTTATTTTGGGCCGCGAAGAGCTTCCGGGAGGTCAAGCCCAGATTGATCATGACAGATAGAGGAGATTGACATTGATCTGGCCATTGGGCTCCTGGAAAGGCATCTCTTATCATACTGGGCCTCATAATTATCAAGAGTATAACGCTCTTTCTGGCGATTGCCGGCTGGAGGGTCGTCTTGTACAAAGGGTTTGCGAACTTGGGAAGTGGAAAATGAATCAGAAATTTGGAGGGGGGAAACCGCCAACTGGAACGCCGTCGTTAGCTTGGTCGTGCGCTGTCGTGATCGTTTCGCTCCTCGCCGGTGCCTCGGTCGTCCACAACATCTATAAGCCTGATCTGGTAACAACCCCCCCCCCTTCTCTCTCCCTCTAAATACTCACACAGCTCGTACAACTGTTCGATAAAATGCCCATACGAACCGTGCAAAACTTTCCTCTTGAGTTTTACTAGTATTTTTAACTGGGACCTCTTTTGTGAAGTTAGCCTAAAATTGTAATGTAGTTTGCTGGTGAGCTTGCAGACTTTGCCTCCAATTGAGAAAAGCGTTGATGGGGCTCAACGAGAACCCGTGGAAAAACACTGATGAATTTCCAGTTTCACTTGTCTGTTGAGCTGTAATTCAGGAGTCAGTCGCTACCAGCAGTGGTGCTTCATAACTTTATACATTTGAAACTTTTTTTTAAGTATATACAATTTCATGAGTTCCACTGTGATTTGGATCCCCATTTTTCCTTTTTTAGGTGGGGACTTGTCTTCTAGTATTTGAATTTCGGTTCAAGTTTGATCTCTTCGTGACGTGTCTAGGGCATGCTAATAATCCACATCAAGTTAGAGATGGAGAACTGCAACCGTCTGGTGCAATAATCAGTAGTATTTGGCTTGTCTTAGAGACCACTGTTTACTAATATTAGCAGTTATGCAAAGGAAAATTTGAAGTAAATCCAGCCGTATTTTATTGTCAAATTAGATATAATTGATACTTGCAAGCAAATTGCACGTGTAATCAACTGTTTGTATTAAATATGGCCCCTAAAACATGGTTGATGTTACGTGCTAATTGATACGCCATTCCCATGGCAAACCGGAGTAATTGGCAGTCCCACCCTGTTCTTTTCCACCGAGCGCAAAATTATGTGTGAAGCAAAAAATAAAGCTCAGAATATCTAACTTAGGAGAAATGTAAGAACGTAATAGCCACTGCCAATGATAAGTCATTTTAGAAGAAGATAGTGCCGATTATAAAACTGCTTTTTTCTTCCACAAACTTCCTTTCAAATCTCTCCATAAAAGTTTAGGGGTTGGAGAAATGATAAGAATCAGCAAATTGGATTGTTCCAGCGGTTCGCCAAGTCATTTCTTGAGAGTACATTTTTTCAAAATATAGGGGCCTTAATCCCACTTGCCGTGCTGAGTATTGCCAAGTCCAATTCTATTGAATTAATTAATGAACCTAGTAGTTCCCTTGCGCAATCCTCACTGGAACAATAGTAGTCCAGTTGGCTTTTGTGCGTAATATTTCTTGTATCTGGGCCAGTAATCCGAAGTAACAGAATTCATTGCTCTAAAAGTTGTAACAGGGTAGTCAAATCAGGGACAGAGCCCATGAAGAAGTGACTTAGGATTTTTCTGTTTTCGGACTAGGTGGGTTTCCCGCGCAATGCGCGGGCGCTGGGTAGTAGGTCATAAGTGCGGCGAAGTTTGGTTTTTGGTTTGTGAATGTGTGGTGAAACGTTTTGAATGGAATAAATTGGATTTTTGATGGATAATTTTACAATTGTAGTTAAATACAGTGTATTTGTAAATGGCATGGGTTATTATATAAATTTTTTTAGCTTAAATGATGGAGATTAACTTATTGGAATTCTTAAAAATTAATAGTTTTTTGAAATTCAATGATTTGGGGATATCTATATATGAAGCAAAAGGAAATATAAAGGATAAATAATCTAATGTATTTGTATGTATATAGTTGTGTGTTACTGTATATTAGTTATACATATATTAGTATATGTGGTATATTTGCATATATATGTATAACTGTTATATACATATTAATTAATATATGTATGTATATGTTTGTGATGTGTATAAGTATTAGTATTGAATATATATGTATAGGGCTAATATATGTTTATTAGTGTGTATTACTAATATATATATATATCTCTGTTATTACATTGTTATAAGGATATATTAGTATTATATATCTATATATATGTATTTATTTGTATATGTTTATAATTATGATATATTTGGTATCCCTATACATTTTTTTAGGTTAAATGATGGAGATTAACTTATGGGAATTCTTAAAAATTAATAGTTTTTTGAAATTCAATGATTTGGGGATATCTATATATGAAGGAAAAGAAAATATAAAGGATAAATGATCTAATATATTTGTATGTATATAGTTGTGTATTACTGTATATTAGTTATACATATATTAGTATATGTGGTATATTTGCATATATATGTATAATTATTATATACATATATGTATAATTATTATATACATATGAATTAATATTAGTATTATATATCTATATATATGTATGTATTTGTATATGTTTATAATTATGATATATCTGTATTATTGTAGACTACTTATTATACTTATATGTTATGTATTTGTTATGATATATTTGTATAATATTAATTAATATATATCTATATATCTACATATATGTATATATTTGTATATGCGCAATTATGATAAATGAGTTTTATTGTGTATTAGTTATAGATATGTGTATATCTATTAGTATTTTATTTATATTTATTATCGTATATTGGTGTTATATATGCAAGAAAGTTTCTGTGTCTTGACCTTATCAGAATGTATTGTGTATTCACGTGTGCATGGCAGTTATTTGTTTGCATGTGCAGCTAGCATGAGACGTGTAATTTCTTGGGTGGAAGGACAGTGAGAAGTACAGAAAATTCACGTGTGTCTAGTAATCTTTCTGGGTTATATAGTTGAAGATTAGATAGGGGTAAGAAGTGTATATTTGATATATCTGTGCAGATATTTAAGATTTGGAGATGGCGGGTGGAAGTGCGAGATTTCCAACTGTTCAATTGTATTATCCAGAGGTGGATGAAGAGGTGAATCAACTGGCTGTTGTTCGTGGAGCTGCGTATCCTATGGGGAATGGTTGCCGAAATCGTCCAGCTGAACCTGTTGCGCGAGCTCAAGTGGCAAATGTGTTGCTGAAAAATGAGATATGTAATTTGTTCAAAGAATTTTATAGGCATGATGATTGGGCTTTGGTGTTGGAGGCTGCGTTTAGGACTGGAAGGAATTATCCGATCTTGGGGTTGATTGCTAGTAGAATGAGATTGGAGGTGTTAGAAGAAAGGTATTACTTTCCCAGTCCGCCATCTTCTAGCGACATGGGTGGCGAAAGTGATTAAAGATTCTAACTTTGCGAAGATGTGTTGGTTACTTTGTGTATTGTTGGTTTCTGGTGTATGGTTTTTGGTGTATGCTGTTTAGGCTTTAAGATGTGTTTTTAAATTTCTTAAGGATATGATGCTGTTGTACTTGATATGTAAGGTAGGATCATGTAAAGTGGTGAAGTTTTTGTTTGTATAACTGTGATTCGACGGTATGTAATGAAAATTTGTACAAAACTTTGAGATTTCGGGTGTATTATTTTTTGGATTTGAGAATTTATGAATGAATTAAAAATTTTAAGAATGTAATGTTTTTGGTAAAAAAGATGAGATGTTAGAAAAGAAATCAAGGCCAAAGCAGAACTTTTGAACACATGAACGTGTTTAAAAGTTTAAATGTTTATTAAATGCATAATAAAATGAAAATTGTTCAATTGTATTTTTTTGAGCTATTGAGATTTGGAACTATTGAACAGCGAATTGTTGTTCAATTGAAATTTGTAGCAAAGTTCGAAAGTGAATGAGAATTTAATGTATAGTTTTCTACAAGAATCCAATGTTGGATGAGTGTGTCTAAAAATACATGAAGGGGTCTGAAAATTTAAAAGTTGATTGAATAGATAATACAATGAATAAAATTTATTTGATGTTTTCAACTATTTCCTGACATATAGGACGTTGTTCAATGAGTCAAGAATGGATAGTTGTAGCAGATTTCAGATAAGTATTGATAGACTAAACAGACCAAAAGAATTCACGTGCGTACAGTACTTTTTTGTGTGGCACATATCTTTTTGTCCGGATTGTTTACCTCACATGTGTATAGTGTCATTCTGTTTTTTGTATTTGTTTGTTTTTGCTTTATTGGCTAGTTGGTGGGTATAAATTCATCAGTTCTGTGATTTGCTTATTCAGTTCTTGTATTGCTATACTCTTTGCCTGTTTGTGAGTTGAAGATGGATTATACTCATAATCGTACTGCAGTATTACGTGATTTGCATCCAGATGTTGAGGTTATGTTCAATCGAATGTCACTAAGTGGCGTCTTGGGAAATTTGGCTGGCCATAGCGGAGATAATGGAATGTTGAGTGGTGGAGATCGGGTTTTAGCGAATAATATTCTGCTCAGGAATGAGATATATGAGTTGTTCAAATCTTTTTATCGCCATCCAGAGAAGGCTTCTGTACTGGAAAGTGTATTAGGAGATATTGGAGAGCTTCCATTTCTTCAAATTATTGCTGGTCGTATGGAAGTAGAAGTTGAAGAACAGAGGAAAGCAATTCAAAGCGCAATGAGTGGGTTTGCTGATTCCTCTGGAAGGAATTTGTAGGCTGTTCGTATGCATGTTTTCATTGCTTTGTATAATTTCTATGCTGGAATTGTTTCCAGTTGTGGTTTAGTGTATTATATGTAAAAGTTTGTGTTTAGATTTTGTATTGAGCAACTTTAGATGCATAAGCTTTTTAGGTTATGCAAATGTTTTTATGTTTTATCGTTTGTTAATATTTGGTTTGATTGGAGTTTGTTCTGTTTTTTTTTTTCAAATGAAAGTAAATTGAATAAACTATTGTAAAGTTGGGATGTATTTCTGGGAGGAGCACAAAATCAATTAGAGGAAGTGAAGGAAAAATAGTTGCAATAACTGTACATATAACTCTGGTCTATTTCCAGTTTGACAAAGCTCAGCTAGCTATTTCTAAGCAAAAACTGATAAGAACTTCAGTAAGTATACAAACGATGAAGGGTAGTAAAAGTTCACCAACAAAAAGTTAAGGAATAGATAGCTGAGCAGCCAAAGGTTAGAGATCAAAAGTTATGGAACAGTAGTAGATATGCACAAATATGTGCTAACAAAACGTATCATATGGCAGTTTCAGTCCTCCTTTTCAGACTTTTCGGTACGTTGCTTCTTAGTTGGGCTCTCTGTGATTTTGAGAGTTGAGAGCAAGCTGGTGTGGACATTTGTATCTTTTGCAGAAGTAGTGACTGCAGTTTCATTGGTATGTGGACTGGTGGTTGGAGGTTGTGTACTTGACCCTGAGTAACCAATGGTGGGAGGAACTTGTGATAAAATCTCTGCCATTGAGGTCTTATGTAGGATAATCGCTGAGTATTTCTCAGTAGTGGTGGAAGCATAGGTGTTTATCATTTTCTTCACAAAGCATGTTATGACGGTGCTGTTTATCGCTTCTTCAATGACCTCATAGTTGAGTTCATGCTATAGAAGTAAGATAAACGAATTTGCATTAAATATAGTAAACTTAGTTCTTAGTGAGAGTGTTCTGAATGTGTATGAAAACTGAATTTGTTACC